ACCACATGAGATATTTTGAAGTTCAGTGCAAGATTTCAGTATCTTTACTGCATTGGCTTTATTATTGTAGTTTTATAGAATTGTTACTTTTGTTCTGTCTATAAATTTACAATATTATTGTTTTTATTATTGTTTCCCTCATATCTCCTAGGTTGTTCTTCTGTCAGTTCTAACACTTTTCCAAGAAAACTGGGATGGGTGACTTGTAATATTTTCCCTACCATTTTCCAGTGTACACTCACCTCCTCAGCCCCACCCCCTGTTTTCTAAAACTCATTGTTGGAAGAATTGTTTTAGAAACTTGGATTTGAGTGGTCTGGCCATAGCTACATTAGGCCTTTGATAATTAAGTTGGAAGAATTATTTTAGAAACTTAGATTTGAGTGGTCTGGCCATAGCTACAGTAAGCCTTTCATAATTAATCAAAATTCGAGGATGAGATTATTTTCTAATTCCCCATTCTAGAGTCCTCATGTTGTTTAAACAACAACAAAAATGGTCAGTACAGAAGGGTATAAGAGTTTATGCTCACAGGTAGACATGCTGGTGATGGCATTTACCCAATAACCTTCTAATGACTCTTTCCAAACTTCAACTGTCTTATTATTATATAACCCTCAGTTATATGTTCCGTTTTGTCAAATATGGAATATTTTTTTTCTTTAAATATCTCAAGCTTACTAAGTCAATTCTCACTCTTGGTGATGCTGTAGGTCAGAGTACAACGTCCCTTTTGTGCTTCCAAGACTATAACTCCTTACATGAGCAGAAAGTTTTGGTTTTTTTTAAACTCAGCATTAACTGAGTTCATTATATCTTGTTAGAGGAAAGAGACTTAATCCATTTTGTCCTCTATGAATTCCAGGAAGGAGAATAAATGCTTGGCAAATTCAGTAGAATGTGATGAGTACCTTGATCAAGGAAAACAACAAGTGCTAATGATGTAGACAGCCTTGTATCTCTAGAAGTGATCACCCACCTACTCACTGCAGTGAACTCCAACCTGCAGCCACACTCAAGGACAGAGTAGAACTATATCATCGGGTTTCTAGGGTGGTAAGTGTGTAAGGAAGCAGAAAGCCACATCTTTCCTCAGTGCAGTAACTGGTTGGGTCAAATAACTGACCTCATCAGTTTTTAACCACTGCACCACCAGGTACCAGATTGCTCAGAAGCAGACATAGTTGCAGCTTTTTGGACTGTCTTTCCGTATTTCCTAAATTCAGGTTACTAGAACTATGTCGCTGCCCTAAATAAGTTGGTAGTGATATTAAACTGGACAGAATAGAAATTAATTTCTACAGTTTGACTATCAGTGGAGGATATTTGTCCAGTGAAATAATCAAAGAGATGTGAAAGTGGATTAATGAATGGATCACTGAAGACAAATGGGTGCATAAGCAAATGTGGCGAAGAAAGCTGATGGTGCCCGGCTATC